CTATATTTGTACATCCTCCCACAGGCTGCCTCACTTCCATCTTCTCCTCCCTTCTGCTTAGCAGAGGCAGTGCCCCCCCAACCCTGCCACTACCACCAACTGGCAGAAGGGGAAGGTTTCTTGTTTGTGGAAGACTCTAGGGAACCTAGGCTAGCACAGTAATTTTGGTAGTAGATTCTTCAAATGGAAAATAAAATATGATGATTTCCCCAAAGTCAGGCATAGGGCTCTGCAGACTCAAAATCCAGACTGGTTGAGAACCTTGAGTGGATACATCTCCCAGAGATGGATTCACATTGATAAATGTACAGTGATAGATTGTTAAATCAGAAATATCTGAGAAATATCTGGATTTCCCTGGTGGCTCAGATTGCAAAGAATCTGCCTACAATGTCAGAGACGTGGATTTGATCCCTGGGTTGGGAAGATCCCCTGGAGAAGGGAATGTCTACGCACTCCAGTATTCTTGCCTGGAGAATTCCATAGACAGAGGGGCCATTGAGAAATAGCAATGTCCTAAAGGCAAAGAAACCGGTATTGCCTAAACTAAGAACATTCTACTCTTCAATCTGTTTTTTATAAGAATTCTAATTATAGTCCAAAGGATGTCGGGATCAATTACAGGCTAAATTATGTCCCCCTAAAATTCACATTGAAGTCCTAACCCCTAGTATCTCAGAATGACTACATTTGGAGAAAGGGTCTTTAAAGAAGTAATTAAGGTAAAATGAGGTCATAGTGGTGAGCCCTAATCCAACATGATTGGTGTCCTTTTAAGAACAGTAAGAAGAATAGATAAAGATACAGAGGGAAGACCATGTGATGACAAAGGGAGAAGCCAAGGAGAAAGGCCTCATAATGAAACCAATCTTGGACACCTTGATCTTGGACTTTTAGCTTCCAGACTGGGAGGAAATAAAATTTCTGTTGCGTAAGCCACTCAGTTTGCAGTATTGGTTCCCACAGCCTTCAAAGACTAAAACATGGTTCATAGAATCAGAACAAGTCAAGTTAGTTACATAATTTGGGTAATTAATGTCACTGGAATGAGTTTGTCCAATTAGTCCTACCCCACAACAAAGACAGTTAGTTCTCTCCTGGGGTTACTATAACCTCCCACCATGTAAACACAATAAACAGCTTTTAGTTCTAAAAGTTCAAGAAAATTTTCAGTTCATGGAACTATGAACTGGAACTACGTCATGGAGCTTTCATCAGATAAAAGTCACTCTTTATAAATTAATTCATTTATTACCATTTATTTCGATGCTCCACTAAACATGAATAGCTCTTGCAGCTTCCTATTTAAAAATCACTTGCAATTTGGATTATTAGTACACTTCATTAGAATGGTTGACAACCGAAAAATGGTTGACTTTGTTTTCATGTTCCATGTACTTATTACTTAGTATCAAATTTAATGATTCTGTTAGAAGGAGGTAATTACTTTTGTTTCTTTTTTATGCTTTGTTTCTACAACACTCAACTTGAAAGATTTTTTAAAACACTAAAATAGATTAAATTTCAGCTTTTATGTATTTTTTCTGTTACATAATTCCCCTACAGGGGACTATAACCACACTTCCCATGTGCTATAAAATTTTTCTGTTAAAATAAATTACTCTCAGAAAGAAATAATACTTGTGTGAACATTTAGAACATTTGGCACTAGGGTATTGACTACCAGATTCATGTATAATCTAAAATGTTAATTAGAAACATTCTTAATTCATGCTAGTGAATAAATAAAATTTTACTAAATATTGTTAATTAGGGTGCAAATAAGTATCAAGAAAAAATCAGAAGAATACTTATTTCCTAATATTACATTTAAGTTAAAAATATATTTAGCTTTCAATGTTACTTTTAAAAGTGGTGCATAGTTCAATAAATTATTAAAACTTGTAGTTAATATAAGTCTACAGCAGCTTTTAAGAAATTATAATTTGTAATTCAACAGAAATGTTAAATTCTGCTGAACTGTTACCAGATTGAAGTATTTTTATTCTCTATTTCTCTACTATTAATTTATCTTTTTGCTGAAATAATTTACCATTTCAATAGTTAGACATTTAACCCCACATCCTTCTGTGTTCTGCTGTCATAAAAATGTATTTTGTGTTCTTACCAGTTTTTAAAAATCGATACTAAAGAACGATCAATGGGACTTCCCTGGCAGTCCAGTGGTTAAGACTCTGTTTCCAGTGCAGGCGTTAAGGATGCTGGGGGTGGTTAGGGTACAATGTGGGGTTAGGGACATTGACCCTGACTTGCATGAAAACCCAGGGGTAACATTACAGTTAACCCTCTGTATCCGAGGTTTCATATCCATGGATTAAATCCACCAGATTGTGTGGGACTGTAGTCTGTATTCATTGAAAAAAATCTGCATGTGAGTGGACCCCGCAGTTCAAACCTGTGTTCTTCAAGGGTCAACTGTACATGCAATCCCTTGAAGCCTACCCCGACTTACTAAAGCAGACCCTGGAGATGGGACTCAGAAGTCTTTTAATTAGCTCTCCAGATGATTCTCATGCACATCAAGTTTTGAGAAATACTTCTCTAGACACTATGTTGAGGGCTTGGGGTGTAAAAACCTGGGTAACTCTCCTTGTTTCAAAAAATCTCAGTCTAGCAGGGAGTCTGCTGAGCCAGTAAATACCATTAAATGTGTGGAGAGTACAAAAACAGAATGACAGACAAAACAGCACCTAAAATAGCAGAGTATATAGAGAAGGTTTCCTAGAAAAGGTCACATGAACTGAGTTTCACAAGGAGTTAAGACATTGGAGGACAGTCACGAGTACAAAAGATACAAAGGTAATGCAGGAGGAATTTTGGCACCTGTGTAAAAGTAAAGTAATTCAGTCAGTATGGCTTGAGCATGGGGTGATTGAGGATTCTATTCTGATTGCTTCTCACCTGTCAAAAGATAAAAATCATTAAAGCAAAAAAAAAAAAATTACAGTTAGATCTATTAACTTCCCAGTAATGGACTCACTGATGGAGAAAAGTCAAAAGTTTTTAAGTGCTAGAAAGGGGGAGTTCATGGGATTTGTACTAATTAAGGATGGGAAACTGCTACTCTGGATATGGGACAGAATGAATATATAGGTTGGTACACAACTGGTTAAAATAAAACAAAAATCCTATTGTCTATTTGTTAGAAAAATGTCTTCAGTTAAGTCCAGTGAAAAGAGTCTGACTTCCCAGGGCCATTGCAGTTTATGGGCTCTTATCACCTTCAGTCTATTGTGCTAAATCACAAAAGTCAGTTGACATCTCCTAGGTAAGCTCTACTTTAAGTGGAAAATTTTCCTTGGCAATCCCTTCTCTTCATCATTCCTCATCTTTAGATACCAGGACAAACACACAGAGGATCGCAAATCATTGGGTTATCAGCTTTCCAACCACCGTCTTTAGGCTTTGGTGCCATTCTCACAGGATTCCACTCTGTTTATCCAAGTGGTTTCAGTCTCCTCTTGATGTAGTATATTTACACAGTAATTAAGGTTACGTTAACAATACACTTGACACATCCTTTGCACTTTCTCGGGTTAATAGCAACCTTAGACCTACTGAACTACCTCTAGGTGTAAGGCCTGAGAGGAACTCTAAAAGCACCAATGAGTAGCTGTAAAGATTAAAAAAAAAAAAAGAATGCTGAAAACAGAGCTAGGGGGTTTCAAGAAAGGGTGAGTGGTCAACAGTGTAAAATACTATAGATAAGTATACACCAAGATGAGGACATGAAAATGTACACAGTGTTTGACCACAAGTGGTGGTAACCTCAGTAAGGGCAATTTCCGAGGATCAGGGTTAAACAGAATTGAATAAACAGGGACTGGAAGCGTGCAGTACTCTTTCAAAGAAACTTGGTTTCTTTGGCTGTGACTCACATCAAGTGCTGCCAACCCCAATCTAGGTTTTTCATTTCTATTTGTAGAGCCAGAAATGTCATATAGATCATCTTGCTTATTATGTGCCAAGCACCACATTACAAAACCATCATCTCATTCAGTCCTCTCACAGCAATCCTATTGATGAGAAAAGTGGAAAAGTTATGAGAAAAGTGGAGTTTCCAGGGGTTAACTTGCTCTAAAATCAACGGTTTGACTCGAAAGCCTTCCCGCATTGTATACAATGCTTTGGTGCTCACTAAAGTACAGAAGAGGTAAACGGCTAGGGAATGTAGGTAATACTGGTCTCTTCTTAGGGATGAGATAAACTTCTCAGCTTCCAATATTAGCATTCTATCATTCATCATTCCTGCATCCCACATCCATCCCTCATTCCTCCACCGGCCCATTCTTGTTTTAAGAAAGCCCAGAGCAAACTACAAAGATTGAGACACATAGCGCAAAAATTAACACTCCACTGTTACCTACCGAGGTATTCGCCCCTCTTACCTCTGGAACGCATGCAAACCTAGCCACTGCAGAGTTTAGGGTGTAGATACGGGTTTGGGGTAGTTTGGATCCTCCGGCTTTCCGTAGGAGCCCTTTGGGCAGCCTCTGGCTCCGCCCCTAGCAACGCTTTAGCTTGTCAGCAACCTGCCAGCCTGAAAGCGGCAAGGTGTGCGGGTGGGCTGCAGGGGCAGGATGCGAGTGGCGTCGCAGCAGCTGAGGCCACGGCCGGACCCCCGCGACTTTTCGCGACTCTAGCCGCTCTTAAGTGGCTTTCACTTTTTGCTGGCAGCCTCTTTCGGTCTCGCGGCTGCGGGCACAGTGTAAAAAGGAAGGAGACGCACCCATCCCTCGTTCCGCAGCCACGGCCATGTCCACAGCGGAGGCCGCGGAGACGCCCGAGGCCCGTGAGCCCAGCGGCAGGATCAAGTTCAGCAGCCCTCGCCAAATCCCGATAGTCGGAGTGGTGACGGAGGATGAGGAAGTGCAGGTACGGCCAGGTGTCTGTGCTTTGGAGGGTGTCAAAGAGTGGGCGGGGGTTGAAATCTGGGGGCGGGGACGATGGCTGGGGGCAGTGAGAGCGGAAGTGGGGGCCCGAGTGGAAACCGGGGCAGCCCACGGGACGCAGGTTCGAGCGCAAAGCTGATCCTTCGAACTGCGCTGCCTGCGAGGGGAGCTGGTTGTCGTCAATCAACCTGTCTGGGGACTTGTGTCTCGAGGTCCTCCTGGGTCCTCCCGGAGCGTCCCAGTAAATTGAGTAGCCGAGGTTTGGAGACGGCTTTGAAAAGTGCGAGGCCACGAAAGGCCTGAGAGGGAGGGAAACATTCTTAGCGAAAATTTGATTTGCATTGGGCTTTTATATGTAGAACCCTGTTGTCGTGTGCTGTTCTTGACACAGGGGTAAATCCTCACGTGTTTGAATTTGCTGCTACAAAAACCTGCATCTGGAGGGGAGGAAAATGCTATTAAAATTAGAAATTAAACAACATTTTCATATGAAATTGGATTCTGGTTTGGGAGGGCGTCGGAGAGAATTGAGATTGAATGGAAATAATTCTATTGTGCTCGTAGTTTTTGGTTTTTAGTTACTTTTTGTCATACAAAACTAATTCTAACTTCTGTTGAGAAGTTTCACTTCAGAACCCTGTGGATCTGTAGCAGGGGTCTTTAGAAACTCCAAGGTGTTTTTTCCATACTAGAGTTCCATTGCTTCTCCCCAGAGAGCCATGATCAAGCCCTATGTTAACATGAATTCTACAGAGGAATCCTGCCCTACCTCCTCACACTGATGATGTGGGGCCACTCTGGGAATTCCTGTTGAGGTCTCACAAGGCTCAGGCTGCGTCAGGAACCCCGTCTCCTGCGTCCACATCCTGGAGCCTTGGAGAGTTCCTTAGGAGCGGTTGGTTGACTGGGGACCTCTCCTGTGGTGGGAATAGGGTTGCACCCTCTGAAGATGGACAGACATTTAACTCATGGAGCAGCAACACTTTTGCATGAAGAGGAGCAGGTGTTGAGGGAATTTACCTAATCGATTTTGTGGAAGTAGTACAGTCCAGGCAGGAAGAAGAATTTTGAGGAGCAACAGATGTCCCTTCACTCCCAAGGCTGCAACGGGGCTCGACACCACCACTGTTCTCCCAGGCACCTGGCAAAGCTGAGAAGTAGGTGAATTTGGCATCTGATGGCTCTCATTCCTTCTTTACTTGGTATTACAAAAGGGGGTAGGGTGCAAAGTTATAGGAGGCAGGCAACTGTGGGTTAAAAAGGAGAAAAAGGGGGAAATACTTTTAACAGACTATTGCCAATATAGTCCACAACATATCAAGTAATGCAGAACAAGCATACCTGTGTATATATGTGTATATTTTCTCCCTTCCCTTTCCCTTTCTTTTTTTCCTTTTCTTTCATTACTACCTCTTCTTACAGGGTGTAGGATTCTCCTCCAGGTAGAAATCAGTTTGTATTGATTAAAGTTCCTACCCTGTTAATAACTGCTTCAAAAAGGCAGTTTCTACCAAAAAAAAAAAAAAAATGAAATTGAATAAAGACATTAAAGCTGAGAGAAATGGTCACTCAGCCTTCTTGGTTTTTGTTTGTGGTTACTCTTACCGATGAGGGCCCTACAGCCATGAGAAGCTACCACGAGTTACTTAGTTTCTTTACTGGGAGAGAAGTCTAGTGCTCTTTTTGCCATTAAAAACGATAACCTTTTAGACCTCTACGTTGGAACTCTAAATGTTTACAGTCTTTTCAAATTATTCCATATTTGCAACCTACAAATGACAGAACAGTATATCCTAGTTGCCAAAAGCGAGAGGCTAGAGTTTATCTCAGTTCATTAAGCCAGCTTCATCATATACTTGAGAAATCACAAATCGTTCACCTATTGTCTAGTTTCCATTTATTTTAACATTTTTTTTTCATTATTAAGAATCAGAAGCCCTTTGGAACAAGTGATTATTCAAGATTTCACATGCATTTGGAGCACCTGGGGAACTTATTAAACTATTTTTTTCTGGTTCTGTAGGTCTCGGGTGCAGCCCTGGATTCTACTTTTCTAACAAGTTTTCAGGTGGTGCCTGAAAACTTGTACTGGATCCCATTTCCCACTCAACAATACTTTGAGTATCATAGCTGAAGTATGGTATGAACAGTGTGACAGTTTCAGAACAGCCAACTCCTGGAAAGCAACAGGAAATGATTTCATGTGGATTGGATCATAAATCAAAGTAAACAGTAACAACAACAAAAATTCCAATCCTCCCCCTGCCAGGTCAGAAGATGTGGTACCAAATGGGGCTTTAAAATAACTACTTGCTCTCCTTTCCTGCCACCAGAGTCCCTCAGTCAATCCTGGATTAATGTCAGATCCTTTGGTTTGCACCTCTCTCTCTTCCCTTCTGTTCTCCATAAACACCACTTTATCATCCTTCTTCCTCCCTCTGAGTCCCACCTGTTCTTTCTTTCAGGCTTCCACAGTAGCTCCTTATTGCTTCCCTCATCTAATATCATTACACTGACCAGATCACTCAACTCTCTAGGCCTGTTCCCGTTTTTATAAAGTGAGCCTGTACTAGATGAGTGTTCCCTAAACTTGGGTGATCATCACAGTCATCTGAGGAGCTTTTTTAAAAATGTACAAAGCTGGGTACTGTAGAGTTTCTCAATCATAATCCCCAGTGTGGAGCCTGGGACTCTTAAAAACTTCCCTCAAATGATTTTAGCCTCGAAACCTCTGAACTTGATGTATGTAAGGTCTTTGCCGTCCTATGCGTCAGGTCTCCTGTCTGCAAGGTTTCCTAACGCACAGCCTGTACTTTATCTCTGCCATGCCGTCTGCCCAGTGCCACCTCTGTGAGGGCAGAAACCTTCTCTGTTGTTTTTTCTGCAGTGTCCCCTGTTATCCCCCAGTAGCAACCAGCACAACACCTGGTACACAGGAGGGGATATTAACTATATGTGGACTGAATGCCCTCCCCTGTTTCCGTAATTTAAATCTTACCCTACCTTCAGGTCCTACCTCTCCGCCATAAATTATCCCCAATAGGAAGCACTTCCCATTCATTTTCACACTTTCAGACCTTCTTTCATAAATAGGTATAGTCCCCAGCCTGAATCACACAGTTTCTTACCTAATGATCTCTTGGTTTATATTTGTTACTATTTCATTTGTCTTGTTTTGTCTCTCCCATTAGCGTATGGGTCCCTTAAGTGTAGGACATCTTAATACTTACATGTCCTTCCCCACTCAACTCTAAACTCAGAGTATATATTTAAATCTTCTTAAGTAGCTTACAAAATCTGTGTTCCAGCCACCCTGGCTCCCTGGCTTCTCCTCAAACATGCCAGCTGTACCAGGCCTAAGGGTCTTTGCAATCGCTGTGCCCACTGCCTGGAAGTTTTCCCCTTATATGTATGGCTTGTTACCTTACCTCCTTCATGACTGTAGTGAAATGTTACCCACTCTCCTCTTTTGCTGACAATTGCTTGAGCATCTTAGCACCGTTTACTCCCATTTCTCCAGAGCATTATCACCTTGCAGTACACTGTATAACTTACTGTCTCCCCCAAACCATATCACTTCCTTATGGAAGCAGAAATTTTGTGTGTTTTATTCAATACCATGTCTTTAGCACTTAGAACAATATCTAACACAGCAGAGGCACACGATAATATTTGTAGGTTAAATACATTATTGTAAACAGTTGACTTGAATGGGTATCATGGCTGAACTTCCTTGCCCAAATTTGTTTTCCTTCTGAGAGCCTCTGAGAACTTACACAATTTGTTGGTTGAGGTCATATCCTGCCACTATCTATAATTCTTCCATGTACTGTGTACTTAAAGTGGCCTATCCCTGTTGTGGAGTAATTGCTAGAAGTAATCTCTGGGTCAACTGAAGTGTCAGACAAAGAACTAAGGTGCAAAGAACCAGTGTTTCTGCATCAAACAGCCCTGCTAGCCCATACAGTTACTATGTGGCCTTAATAAGTTAGATCTCAGTTTCAACAACAGGGATAATAATGCTACCTTCATATTGTAGATTTGAGATATGTTAATTAAAATATAAAGTACCAGACACATAAATGGACCATAATAAATGTTAGTTCTTTCCCTATAACTAGGTTTCAAATAAGCAGGATTTTCCCCCTTTGAAATGTTCATTGGTAAAGTGGGAAAATAAGTTCATCTTATGACTTGAAGTAAGTGGAGGTATAATTTCCTTCAAAGCAGTTAATTAAATGAGCTTTTGCTCTTAAAAGATTTTGTTAAATGTTTTTATAGTTTCTCCATAAAATCTTATGACGATAATAACAGCAGTTATTTTTATATTTACATTTGTACATTCTCTTTTGCTGCTACATTCTGCTTGTGTGATCTCATTTACCTAATCTCTCCCAATTATTACTTTAAGCCTGTAATTTAGAAATCTCTGCCCCAAATTTAACTCATCTCCAGCCTCAACACAAGCCTCTTCCTCTAGTGTCCCTGTTTCAACAAATGGTGCTACCATTTATGTCATTCCTTAAGCCAGTCAGTCATCCTTACCTTTTCCTTCTCTTCCCTGCCAAATCAAATCACTCATTAGGACCTGATGATCCTGCCTCCTTGATGCTTTTCATTCCACTCATTGTTGTGATTCCTAGTGGCCACTGCTTTAGTCATTGCCTGAAGTCATAGACTAGTCTCCCACCTCCAGTCTAGATCTTTCCAGATCAGTCTGTACTCAGCAGACAGAATTATCTCTTTATTGTTACATTCCTCTGGTTAAAACCTGTGGAAATCAACAAAGATCACCCTAATGAGAATGAACACCGACTGTTTATGCGGAGCTTACTGTAGAAAGAGAGTCAGCCAGCATTACTTACATTTGGCAGAGACTCCAAGGGAAGCTTCACTGTGATAAAAGGGAGGCTTCTGCTTTGCTCTTGTTGTTGACTGCATGATTGATTTGAGAAGCATACTTGGCTTTTTTGGTTGGCTCTGAGTGGCAGATGGGGTCAAAAAATAGGGAATGTGATGATCATTGACCAAATACTGACTTTCTGAGCCAACAGCTGCAGAGGTTGTGGTTTGACTCCCTAAGTTGCTTGCTGCAGAGGTTGGAGGACAGAGTTCTGTTACCAAGTAAAATCTGGCCATTGCCTGTTTTAATATCCAGTCTCTCAAACCATTCAATATCTTCTGATGAGCCTTATCATAGTATATACAAGACCACCTGTAAAATGGAGTTAATAGTATCTACCTCACAGAATTCAGTTAGTAAATTAAAGAGCTTACAATTGTACCATCATTGTTATTATCACTAAGATTAGTATTCACGATTTGACCTCTGCTTACCTTATCAGCAGCATCTGTAGCTTCTATCCCTTGCACTATCCTCTCCTACCGTATGACTCACCAATCCTCCAAATGCCATGTTTTTCTTGTCTCCAGGACTTAACACATGCTACTCCCTTTGCTCCATCTCTCAAACCTTCAGTTGATCTCACAAATCCTATTCAATTTCACTCTGCCTTCAGATTGCTTCTTTCAGAAGCTCTCCCAGATTCCCACCCCTCCTCCCCATGCCATTCTGTCCCTCTCTGTATAGTTCTGGAATGCACCTCTCAGCATTCATGAACCATTTTGTAGCATGATCTATATTACCTATATCTCATCCCAGATTGATAGGTGCCTGAGTCAGGGCAAATGTGTTCCTCACACCTACCATTTCTGAAATATGGAAGCTACTCATAAATATTTATAAAAGGAAGAAAAGGCTAAGGGAAGGAGGGAGAAATCTTAAAAGTATAACATTTGCCATGCAAATAAAAGACCGAGTAACATGAAGTGATAAGATAAATTTAAGATAATATAAGAAAAAAATAATATAAGATAAATCTATGCCTTAATCTTTACCACTCTTCTTTCTTAAAAATGTTATACCTTGGAGAAGGAAATGGCAACCCACTCCAGTATTCTTGCCTGGAAAAGTCCATGGACAGAGGAGCCTGGCGGGCTGAAGTCCATGGGATTACATGACTGAGCATGTGTGCACGAGGGTGGAGGGAGATGGGTTGGTAGCAATAAACTGGTAGAACTAAAAAAAAAAAAAAAAAGTTATACCTGGTCACTTGGGGGGAGAAATTCTGATAATAATACAGATTTTAAAAAGAAAATTCTGCACTGACATTTCATTTCAGTATCTTTTCCAACCCACAAAACCGATATTGCAAAAAATCAGAAAATAAAAATTCACTGTACATTTTTATTTCTCTGAGAACACAGGGAGAAAAAAGGACAACTGAGGTGGTGGCAGATGGCACTGTTAAAATCCCAAATCTTAAAAGGCAAAATTCTATTTATCAAAAAAATTGTAACAGTAAATTTAATAATTTAAGCAATTTAATAGTAAGATGTAACACTGTTAATGATAATCATAATACCTAGGATAAATAAGTATATAGTAAATCCTTTTTGATAATTTTTAAAGTAAAAATCATGTTGAGTAAACTCAGGGACTTATTCTGCAGACAAAGTTAGAGCACTTAACTGAAAATTGTATTTGAATGACATTTCTGAAGATCAGAACATATTAGTTTGTAATTGTGAAAGGAAAGGAAATTCTAGACCTAAGAGGCAATGAAACAATGACTATGTAGAAATATGGAAATGTATGTATATAGACTTAAAAAACAGAATATAAGATGGTGTTAACAGTAAGTGAAATTATGTTATGTATTTCTATGTGGGAAAAAAACAGAAAATAAAATATAAATATATAAAACAGAAAATAGTATATAAAAATAACAAGATGTATTTTGATGCTAAGAATGGAGGCAACACATGAACTGTGTCTCAAAGGACCTGTGAGAATTAACCAAGGAAACGGATAGGATCGTAACAACAATGAAAACAGAGGAGAGGTGAAGGGCATTAGTGGAGTCATTGAATGATTTAGACGTGTTGTGTTCAGATTTGAGTATTATTGTTCTGACCAGAGGGTAGAGGACAGTGTTGAAGGGTGCAAGGCTGGAGGTAGGAGAACAAATAGCAGGAAACCTTCACAATTGAGTAAGAAATAAGAACTGAATAAATCATCAAGATGGAGTGGGCCAACTATCATAAAACTCTTAGAGGAAAACATAGGCAGAATGCTCTTTGACATACATCACAACAAGATCTTTTTCGATCCGCCACCTAAAGTAATGAAAATAAAAATAAACAAATGGGACCTAATTAAACTTAAAAACTTCTGCACAGCAAAGGAAGCCGTAAACAAAACAAAAAGACAACCCTTAGAATGGGAGAAAATACTTGCAAACAAAGCAACTGACAAGGAATTAATCTCCAAAATATACAAACAGCTCATGCAGCTCAATATCAAAAAAACAACCCAATCAAAAAATGGGTGGAAGATCTAAATAGACATATCCCAAAGATGACCAAAAAAAAAAAAAAAAAAAAATACATGCAAAGATGCTCAACATCAGAAATTATTAGAGAAATGCAAATCAAAAACTACAATGAGGTATCATCTCACACCAGTCAGAATGGCCATCATCAAAAAATTGATAAACAATAAATGTTGGAGAAAAGAGAACCCTCTTATTCTATTGGTGGGAATGTCAATTGGTACATGGAGGTTTCCTAAAAAACTAAAATAGAGCTACCATATGAGCCAGAAATCCCACTCCCAGGCATATATCCCAAGAAACCCATAATTTGAAAGGATGCAGCACCCTGATGTTTATGGCAGCACTGTTTACAATAGGCAGGACACGGAAGCAACTCTGTCCATTGACAGATGAATGGATAAAGAAAATGTGGTACATATATACAATGGAATATTACTCAGCCATAAAAGGAACAAAACAATGCCATCATTGTAAAGCAACTCTATTCCAATAAAATTTTTTTTTAAATAATGGAGTGGGTTCAATAAATCTATAATATGTAAACTCTGTAGAACTTGGCAGTTCCTGTTTTCTGATATGGGTGATGTAAGACTGCTGAGAGAAAGGATACCTAGTTCAGGAAGGTGCTCTCCTACCTGTAGTTTAGAAGCTAGTCTTAGGTATATCTGCATAGGCAAACTCAGTGTATATGATGTGTATGCATGAGATGTATAGTATGTATGAAATCATTTTATTTCTCAAGACATGGAAGTGCTATTATTCCAGATGCTCTCTTGGGCCTTTTGGAACTATTGAAATTTAAAGACATTGAGACTGTAAGATAATACCAAAATTCAAGAGGGTTTTTTTATTTAAAACTCCAGAATTTATTTACTCCTATAAGTCTCAGGTGCTTTTCATTCTCCCCTCACTGTTTTTGTCATAAGGTATTTTTAAGTTGCTAAGAGATAATACCATATAAAAATAATGTGTTTGATGTGATTTTTTGATTCTCATGATACAGAATATTGTGAATTGTGTGTTTTTAGGGTGCCTTCAAGTCTATGGACCTAAATCGTGTCATCAAACTCTTCGAAGAGACTGGTAAAGTAAGCTTTTGGAGAAAATTTCTCCATTTCACTTAGAAACTGTGATTTCCCTGAAAGGTAATATGTACTCCCCTAAATATAAGTCCCATTCCTCCTTTTAGTGACAACACTTCAAACAGTATATGTCTTCTGTTGAAGAACTGTTTAAATTTAGTATGAATATATTTAACCTGGTAGGTACATATATACAAATATAATATATGCATATGTTATATGGGTGAATATAAATAGAAATCATAAGAGTAGATTTGACTCATCTAGCCTTTGTTCATGCTTATTACCAAGTAGGATCTGGGTGCAAAGGTAGGAAACATGTATCATGATATAAAAGTTTTCTGATATGAAATTAGGATATGTGCATACTCATACACAGTCACAAGTAATTTATTTTGAGAGAACTGTCATACATAATGTAATGGAAATAAAGATACTAGACTGAAAACTGAGAGTTTAGGCTTTGGCAGAAAGGATAATAAATGCATATGCGTACATGTTTATAGGACACTCTGCTGATGTTACTCAAGAATTGACTGAATGCCTAAAAAGTCAGTATACACTAGAAAATTACTACAGGATGAAGATTGCATGCTTTCAGTTTGTGGGAAGTGGGCTTACCATGGTTTCAAAACAATGTCCTGTGATTAACAGGTGCAAAAATTTAGTCATTGTCTTAACATTTTTTAGTCTCTACACTTTTACATAGAAAGAAGAAAAAACACAATAAAAATAATGCCTTTATAAGAACAGTTTTATTTGTTGGCTCTGATTGTTGTGATAGTTATTTTTAATTGTGAATATATCTACAGTTTTTTAAAAAAGGAAACCCAACTACATAGAGCTCCTAATAGTTTGTTAATTAAGGGTAGCCACAATATGTGTGTGTGTGTGTGTATGTGTATGTTTTGTTTAAATTGACTGAGATTTTTAGTTTGAGCCATTACATTATGCATATTTTAGGTTAAAAATACAATTTTTGGAGTCAGATGGTCAAATCTGACTTCATACATCATACATCATACATATCAGCTGTATGATTTGGGATAATTAGTGTTTCAGCTGAGTTTCCTTTTCCGAAAAAGAAGGGTAATAAAAGTACCCTCCTAATAAGGTTATTTTGAAGATTAATGAAATGATATCTATATATATTGCCTAAATAGTATTTGGCATAGAAAAATGCTCAACATACTTCAAGTATTATTAATATTTCCGGAAACAGTTACTGCTTTTATATTAATCTAGTTTTGATTTGCAATTTCCTATTTGAATATAAATTAGTTTATTTTTACCTTCACTATTTTAGGAAAATTTTATAATGCTTACATTATAATATAGTAATTTAAGAATTACTTGATAATGTGTCTACTTTCTTCTTATATTAAGGGAAAATTTTAAAAATCTCAACAGAATAACACAAAAGAACTAAAATAGATAATTTGTTTTAGGATGATTTGGAAGAAAGACAACTTAAATCTGTCAAGAAATTGGTGCAGTGTTATCAAAATGGATTTGTATCCTTTACTTATATGTGTATGTTTGTTTCCTTTATCCTAAAATGGAAGGCTTTTTATTAGGAAACATGTTAGTTTCCCATTGCTGCTATAACAAATTACCACAGACTCAGTGTCTTAAAACCACATGAATTTTTTGTTTGATAGTCTGGAAGTCTCACTGGGCTCAAGGAGAGGTGTTGGCAGGGCTGGCTCCTTCTGAAGGCTCTAGGGGAGACGCCAGTCCTTGCCTCTGCCAGCTTCTAGAGGCAGCCAGCATTCCTTGGCTTCCTGGGCCCTTCCCAAGAGGTAGCGAGGGAGCACCCCCTCACCTCTACTTCTGTCATCACTTCTTCTCTGACCCTCTCCTGCCTGTCCTTTCCTCATAAGGACCCTGTGGTTGTATTTGGCCTACCTGGATAATCGTGGATAACTTTCCCATCTCAAGGCTTTTAATCACATCAGAAAATTCCCTTTGCCATATAGTAAGAAAGGTAACATTCCCAAGTTCTAGGGGTTAGAATGTAGATATCATTGCTGCTGCTGCTGCTGCTGCTAAGTCGCTTCAGTCATGTCCCACTCTGTGCGACCCCATAGACGGCAGCCCACCAGGCTCCCCCGTCCATGGGATTCTCCAGGCAAGAACACTGGAGTGGGCTGCCATTTCCTTCTCCAATGCATGAAAGTGAAAAGTGAAAGTGAAGTTGCTCAGTCGTGTCCAACTCTTTGTGACCCCATGAACTGCAGCTTACCAGGCTCCTCGTCCATGGGATTTTCCAGGCAAGAGTACTGGAGTGGGTTGCCATTGCCTTCTCCAAGATATCATTGAACAGGCCATTATTCTGTTTACCACAGAAAATATCTAACATTTTATGTCTTTTACAAAATTATATTTTTACCAGAGAATATAAAGTGGAAGAAACAGTATAATGCAATATTAACTGTATAGTGTCAATTTCTATAGACTCAGAGAGACAGTGGATGTAGTTAGGAGGGCCAAGTAAAAGTCTTGTTTCTACCAATTTACTTGAGTATTTGCACTGTTGATAAACTTTTTAATTTTTTCACCCTTATGAAATAGGGATAATAGCTCCTCATGAGGTCATAAGGAAGACTAGATAATACACCAGCATTGCTTGATAATCGTCAAAACATTCTATAAATGTGTTATTCCCAATGAATATACCACCATGATTAGAATATGTAGAGACCAGTGTGTTTCAAAACTATGTGTGATTAAGAACCAGTTTGCTGCCAGGGGTTATTTTCTTTTTTAACCTTTGCATATACATGCTATTGTAAAATGCAATAGAATTGTCACAGGAAACTCACTTTCTGTAGTTATTTTTCCATAGACCAGTAACATACAGTTCCAGAACTGGCATGTCCCCAGCCACAGTTACAGTAGTATTGATCTAAATAAACTTTAACAGTTGTCCAACCAGGTTTAAAGAAGATACCAGTCTCTAATTAGCTTGTTTAATATTTCAAAACATCTTAAGCCTACCATTTAGGGAAATGTGCCTTATAATTTTATCTGACTCTTTTCTCACCTTATTTTAGCCTTGTTTTATAGGGATTTGTTTGGTCAGTCAGTTACTGAGGGCTTGTGGATATCAAACATTGTTTACTGGTAGCTGAGAAAGTCTACTAGGAAGTGATTTCTTTTCCTATCTTAACCTGATAACTCAACACCTCCATTGTTTTTTCTTCTTCAGGCCACAGAGTTGGTGGCAAATGGCTCTGTTTCTGAATGTCTTTAGTAGTCTGACTTTAGACTTTATAAAACATAAAGCAAAGATAGGTTAGAGAGGTATCTTAGTCATTTCCCTAGGAAGTTAATAGAAGTTTGTATTTTTAATATATCCAGCTCACCTATCTTTTTCAGAGAAGCTCCTAGAAAGAGACTAGAAGTGATCAGATTCAGTCAAGAAGTGCAAGTCACAGTTACCATGTCCCCTTAACTATTAAAAAAAAAATGTGAAATTTGTTTATGTACCAATTGGGTTTTTTAAATAGATAAAATAAAAAGTTGCAAAAAAAATAAATAAAAGTTGCTTTTATCTGAAGATTTAGAGAGGGTACATTTTGCTTTCATAAACTAGTCTTAAATAAAATTTCAACCAATATAAACCTTATAAACAAGAAAAGGCAACTGAGTAATGTTAATAAAATAATGCAGGAAAGTAAGGTAGGTTTGGGTTGCTTATTCCTGAGCAATGTATGTTTTGTATTTGGGTGGAGATGAAGCAGATAATTGAGCCATTAAGTTCTTTTTTTTTCAAAGTGTTATTACACATCGCCAATAGTTATTGCTCAACTGAGTATGTGATACAGTAGTTGGCAATCAGATTCTAAAGATGTGGTGAGAAACGAAAAAATATTTTGAATAAGAGGTTACTGAGACAAAAATTAAATAATATTCCTTAAAAAAATGGTTCTGTTTTTCTCTTTGCACTTCAAAATTAGTGTAATTAAAATAGGGTCAACCATGTTTAACAGAATAGATGAAGTTCTATAGACTTTCTTGATAGAAATACTGTAAAGAATATGTTAATAAAAATCTTAATTTTATTTCTTAACTAAAAATATTAAAGCCCCTAAGGGATTTAGCACAGATATTTAAAATTCTGAATCTATGCACAGAAAAAATTAAAACACAGCCCCATTTTATAGAACCTGCATATAATATCATAAAATTATGTGGGTAAGTTTTCAAACTTTATTTTATATTAGCATGCATGCAGTATTTTATGTTTTATCTTACAAAGATATTATGTATTATGGTGTAGCAAAGCAATATAGAACTCAGGAAACTTCACTTGATCACTTGATTCCAGCAGCTGATATCTCAAAGGTAGTCCACTTTACTGTAGTCTGAGATTGCTAGCCACAAGAATGTAAACTGTAAGTATAATAAAATGTTTTCTCATAAGTTACCTCAAGTGAATGAAAAATGTGAAATGTAAATAAGAAGTTATAGTATTTTTAGAGAATCCTTGAGAAAATTTATGGATAATACAAATTTCTGTCTAGTTTTTTTTTCTATCTCTTTAAAAAATTTGACTGTCAAAGATATGAGAGTCAAAATGTTTTATTTGATCTTCCAAATTTGAATAAAGAATGATTTATCAGCAAATTATTTGGGGGATTTTTTTCAAAATGAAAATTAGAGATCAGAATTATAAAATTTATATATTCCATCCTCTGTACTATTGTTTCAACAACCATTTGTTGGAACAGCCATATAGTTGCTAATCAAGATGTATATTAAAATACATATTCCCAATTTTCAATATAATTGGTAGAGGAAATTTCTTTAAAAAGAGATAAACTTTTTGACAATTGAAACTTCTAAACCTTTCTACCAATTTTAACTTTAAAAAGTGAGTTTCTTTTAATTATAAATAATAGTATTTATACATAGTAAGTATATCTCTCACTTTTAGATTTAGTAGCAGTAATATTTGCAATTTTGTTACTAAGTTCATTTAAGTGTTTTGATATCTGAACAAATGATTGGAAATAATTTATTGAATGTCCTTATCATGCCTTTTTAATGGAGTCCATGGAAAATAAAGAAATAAATTATTGTTCTGATGCTCTCAAGGAACTGTAATACACTAATTGGAAGTTATTTTTATATTGATGTGAGATAATATTATGTAAAATAGTTCCAGATTTTAAGGCCATGCAATCTTAGAATATCGTGTTCACAAGCATTATCAGTGTTCCTAGAGCACTCCACCAATAATTAGTTCTCTAGGAAAGCTGTGACTGAATGTTTCATTGCATAATATGAGAAATCTTTAGAAATGCACTCTTATCTTCATAGTTCATAATTGTCCACATTATTTATTTTTAAAAAATTTCCTAATTTCTCCTTTTATCGTGCATTTTTCCATACCATACCCTCACTTGATTCCCTTTTCAGGTCATTTTGGGGATATAAAACATTGAAAATTTAAAAAGTAAAATCAAGCCCTCTGTTTTGGCCTTTAAGTAATTCATTTTTCTCAGTGCATCAGAAGCATAATGCTTACCTTTTTCCATAACCTTTTTGGTGGGAATCTCTTCTGATGCTTTATCCTTTAGGTTGTTTTCTTTGGTAATAAAAGGAAAAAAATATGACAAGAAGAATTTATTTTAGAGTTTTTCACTTTAGAGACTCAACAATGAGCTGGGTGACAAGTAATAAACTACTTCAAATGAAAAATTCTAGAAATGAAACCTAGAAATACTAGAAAGGAACCTTGATGACATTTACAAAATTTTCCTTTTCATAGCTTGACCTTGAAATATCTTTTAATTCTAATTGGCATATATATATATATATATATATATATATACACACACCCATATGTGATAGCTCCCAGTGCTGTTTTTCAACCCCTTGGTTAATTTTTCTTGAAAAACATTATTTAAAAGTACTATATATAAGATATATTAAATATCTTTAAATAGCATATAAAGTTCAAATTTTGAACTCCTCAAGTACTGAAATAGTTGATATTTTTTATTTAGGAAGTGACGGTTATCTCTCCTCTGACAGACTAATGACATAGGTTCAAGTGCCCTATCTTTTCTGATTTGTGAATAAATAAATAATTTTCAAATAACTTTGGTTATATTAGTTGTGAAATATGATTCTAATATAATTAATATTTGTTAAATTGAATTCTTTAGTGTCTCAAAAAGTATATTTGTTATTTTGTGGATGGTAACTAATCCAATTAATAAGGAAAAAGTCACTAACCCTTAAGAACAAATAGACCATTGATATATTAACTGGAGTTTAAAAATTTCAGGGAAAAAAACCCCTAAACAGCCTTTAAGTTATAGGTAAAACTAGACCTGTGATTTGTATCAGCTTTTCTAGTGTATTCCTAATTCTGATAGAAGTACGGGTATAGTATTATCGGGTATAGTATTATCTTACCCTCAGAGAGGAAAGAGGATTCTTAAGTTTTGTATTTATGTAGTATTGCAAGATGGCTTTCTTAACTCTTGCCTTTTATGTCCATCTCTCTTCATTTTTATAAACTGATTTTATTTTGTTTTTATTTTGGTCAGCTGGTTAGAAAAACAAAATTTTTTTTGGTAGTTAATTCTCCAGGACTAAAGAAACAGGATATTTATCCTCATTTTAATCTTTAGAAGAGAAATTTTCCTCTTATTTTGCAAATGATGCTTCAGTGAAGGACTTCATTAAACATAATTCATATATTCTTCATTCTTATTGAAGCTTGCCATTTTTGAAAAAGAAAGCATCAGATGAAATAACATATGCTGAAGATACTGCTAATTCAGTTGGACTTTTGGGTGAGTTAAGATGATTGGACCACTGACAAGAAGGAAATCTCTCTCTCACTGAGTTTCACTAAGAATACTCCTTCTGTTTTCTTGTTGAAGATTAATCATACTGTGCTTGGTGATATTTTTTGTGTTATCTTCCACTCGGGTGTTTCATGATACCATCAGGATTTTTTGTTCCTTAATTATAAGGACTGGCAGATACTTCTTTGTGCTTAATGTCTTGATGTTATGTATTTAGTTTGTTGAAATGTTTAACTTTTTTTTAAAAATCAGAAGTACATGTTCCTCTCAGTAATCACAGAAATGTTTTCATCTTTGAACTCTAATAACTGCTTGAATCTAATTGATTGCTGGAATTGACTGAGGGCCCGATTATTCATTAAATAATTTAAAATCATAAAATGCTGGAATATTGGGAACTTTAATATAATATACATAAAGATGCCTGTATTTTGTATACAAAAATATAAAAAAAATCACAGGCAGGTTTTATATTTGGCTTATTGCTCAATTTTCTAGAGAAAGAAAATAATATCTTAGAAATGAGATCAAACATTATGGCTCCTCGAATCAGCCCCTGAGTCATGACATCATGTTCCCAAAACAAGTCCTAAATTAAATTTATGCTTATTAATTTAGTTTTTGTTTGTATAGTAGAAATTAAATACAAATTAAAAATAAGTATTTACTGTATATTTATGTTCCTAGCATTATATTCCATATTGAAAGATGACAGAAACTAGTAAAGTACTAGTATCATTTAAAATTTTTAACATAGACACTGACACTTTTATGTCTAAATAAAATTTCATAGTCTTCATCTGTAGATACTTTGGGAGAAATTATTGTGGCCTACAGTGGGTGAAGAAGGAAATTAGAATAAACATGGGGAGCTAGATAAGATGGCCTTAAGGAAACAGGCAGGTTGGAAACTAATGGGAAACTTTAATTCTGTGAATCTCTATCATCAATAGAAATTTACAGTGAGAAGCCAACCTGGAAATAGGATATGATGGTATTGACGGATAAAATGTGTAGATTTGATTGATAACATTTAAAAAAATCTCTATTGCCCTTATTACTTTTAAATATGCATTTGTATAGTAAATACATAGCCCTTTCTTACTGTGTCAGTTTGCTGTTTGTTGAATGCCTGCCCACAGAGCATGTTATTGCCTCATTTGAGGGCAATATGAACTCTTAGCTAAAAAATGAACTCCTTTCACTGATTACTTATGATAAGAACTGCCGTTCTGTCCTTTATTAATTGCTGGAAACATGAGTTGAAACTAAAATAATTGTAGTACAAAATTTTGAAAAAAGGATATTCATTTTTACTAATAATTTCATTTCTACTATGTGCTGTTTATAAAAGTGAATTATATTACTTTTTCTCCTAAATAATAGATATTTTTCCACTTAACAGCAGGATTCTGGAAACATAAAGGAAAAAGTTGGTACTCTGCCCTGAGATTGTAAAACAGGAAACCATGAAAGATGATCTGAATTTACGGGAACTAAAATGATAGTAAAACAGATAAGAAACCTTAGCATTTCCCGTAAACTTGGTTTGGCTAGTTTTGTTGGAGAAGTTTAGTTGTTCCTGTTGCCTAATTTGTTTCAAAACATAGTTTTCAACCACAAAGGAGAGTCCAGAAAAATTAAGAGAATAATCTCAAGCCTCTTTTTTCTTTTTTTTTTCCCCAGTGTTAGTTTTTGCAGATAGATTCTCCTAAAGCTAGGCTGTTTCCTTCATGCTCCCTCCTCCCATCCACTTGCTTACCCACCCACTGACTACCCTCAGAGATAAACATTATGCAAAAACTAATGCAAAACACAGATCTTCAAGGGACATCTAATTATCTCTTTCCCTCAGAGGATCCAAGCAGATCTTTTTCCGTCCGGAAGCTGATACTCCTGACTGCAGTTGTTCTCAGATGCCCAGAAGGCATGGATCATTTTCAGAATCCCACTGATCATTCTCAGATTCTCTTAGGAATCATACTTAGAGGACTTCACCAGAGCTAATGCAGTTTAGTTTGAAGTATAGGCTGAAGCCAATTCAGAAGTTGTTTAGATATGACTGAAAAGGAATCTTCCCTGTCCTCCATCCCCGCCAAAATAACTTGAACATAAAATTATTACCAGCAGGACAAAGACTGCCTAGAAACACTATCTTCCAGTCTGTCAATAAACTGAGGGGGCAGAGCTCAGCTGGAACTTTTCTAAGCAAAGGATACATTATTAGAGGCAATAGATTACTGATTCTCTAGCTAGGGAGGAAAACTCTCAGCCCTTTTCTTAGGCTAACTTATTTAATTCTCACAGCAATCTTTAAAGTAGTAACTATTTCTATACAAATTTATGGGATGAGAAAACTGAGACACAAGTTTATACAGGTAGTAAGTGGTCAAGCAGGATTTAATCTTAGGCAGTCTTGTTCTAGCTGCTAATTACCATTCTTTTCTTCTTGGAAAGGAAAGGCTGAGTTGATCGTTGGCCAAGTGGTACAAGGATAGATAGGGTGTTTTGTGTGTGTGTTTGTATGTGTGTATGTATTTAAAATTATATGATCCAGTTTGAATCTCTGATGATGATATTTTAATAATCATGTTACTAACACTTTATCCTTAAAACTGTAAATAAACATATGTCATTGTTATTAAATAGCATTCATTCATCTTTCTGACAGGTGACTTAATGAAAATACCAAATTCTGAATTGAGGATTCAAATTTGTAAGTGTATTATTGACTTTTATCATGCAGAGCCACCAAAAAAGCATATTACAGGTAAAGTTTTCAGTACTGTTTCAGTAATAACTTATGTCTTTATAAAACAGCATTCTCATTTCTCTTTGGACTTGTAAAGACAGAGTGGGGATCATAAATGCAACACAACAAAAACAGGCTCTTTTGGCAGTCTCAAGCTCTTCAGTCATTTTAAACAAAAAAATTATATAACTTTTCTCAACTTTAGATATTTATTCTGATGCTAAATATTTATAGCAGAATTTTTAAGGTTAAACCTAAACTAGTTTAATTATAATTATTACTATTAATGTCATTTAATACTGTTGATAATATTATTGTTCTCTAACATTTATAATGTTAGATCCCTAAAGCTAATAACATTCTCCACCACTTCTGGAAAAAGAATTCTGCATGTTACAGCTAAGGGATCTTAATATATAATGATAAAATGAGTCACACTGAAATGGGTAATATCAAGATAGGGGGCACTTGCAATATGGAGGATATAATGATACTTTAGGTTATATTTCCTACATTCATAGTTTCCATAATTTATAATCAGTCTAGGAAAGGAGAAAGGATATAAAATACATTTTAAAGTTCTCTGTTCCTTAAGATAGGTGAAAATAAGACTCTGGTAGAAAAAAAAAAAAGATTACTTATGAATAGGGAAAAATGGGAAGACATCTGAAGTGAAGAAATGAGTAGAGAGATTAACTGTCAGATTTGAGCTATCCATGAGATAAACAGGAGGAAGTGTTTGATAGATAGTAGACACTGAATACTAACAGAAATACAGGTTTGGAATTCACCCAAATAGAGATGAAAATTGAAACCATCTGGATGCTTGAGTTTTTCCAGGAGATAAAACACGTAAATCAGAAAGGACCAAGAATAACAGCGTGGAGAGGGCCCATACTGAGATCCAGGGGGGAAAACGATCCAAAGAAATTGGCAGTGACAGAAGGTTCAAAGTGGAGGATGAAAAGCAAAAGATCGTCATGTCTTATATGCCAGTGGATAAAATATTTGATGAAGGAAGGAGTAGTCCTAGTGTCAAATACTGTAGAGGCTTCTGTAATTGAAGAGTCAAAGTACCGATTGATGTGATATCTGGAAAACTCTAGTACATCTTTGGTGGAACTATTGCCGTAAATAAGACAGATACAAGACCAGAGAATGAGAGGACTGTGAGATAGAGGCAGTGAATGCAGACTTACACATTAAGATCAGATGGAGAAGAAAAAGAAGGGAGATGCATAACAGCTCCACTGGTAGCAAAATCAAAGAAGATTCTTGGCTTTGTTCATGATTTTTATTCCCCTATAGGCAGAGGAACAAGAAGCTAGTATTTGGAAAATGAGAGGAAGAAATTCCCAAAGCATGAGAGGATGGACTTAAGAGTACAAGCATAAGGTTAACCTAGGCAATATATACACTGTCTTTTTAAGATAGAAAAAAAAAAAAAGGAAACAAATGATGTATAAGATAAGACAGAGGAGTTAAGGTGCAGAGAAGTGAGGCTGATCTTAATTTAACCAGGCTCTGAATATTGGAAACCTTAGGCAGTGCTCTCAGTAGCTGTCACGCAGTTGGCTTCAGGTGATGGCATGGCTGGATATCTGGGACCACAGCTGAAAAGTCATCAGTAGGGCAACTGTATGAGACATATCCCTGGGGACAGGAATTGGGTTCATGAGCCTTACTATTACAATATCCTTCTATATAAATGTAAACTAAATATATAAAGATACAGTAAGAATAAAGTGCAGGCATGCAACCAGGCTATTATGCAAAGAAAACAATGATTTGGGAAAATATTTTATAGAATGAGAAAAGGCTTACAATAAAATGTTTAGTGGCTACAATTGAATATAAAATTCTACATACAGTGTATTGTTAAAATTATATGATACATTTAAAATATCATTACTGTAAGAAATATACCAGAATGTTAAGGTTGTTATCTCTGAATGATGAAATTATGCAACTTTTGGTTTCCTCTTTATACTTTTTATACACCTAAAGTGAGTCGATAGGGCATACCATAGAGAACCCATCACAGGAAAGGATAGGGCCATGTCCAGGGCTAAAGATCAAATTCATAAAGATGAAATAACAGACATCTCAGAACCATAGCAAAGAATCTAGTTGGTCTCAAAAGTCAAGAAATCAGGGAGATAGATAGTATATCACTACGAGAGAAAAAGCATCTCAAGTGAACAGGTACCCTCTGCTGTGTATTTAATCTCTCTTGAGTTGAGAGATTATTGGGCAACCACCCGTGCAGCTGTATCAAAGGAGAGGTGGTGGTGTTTCTCAGGCAGTTATCACCAAGAATCATGCTTCCTTAAAATAGCATTATATTTCACTAGCATTTATCAGAATAGCATTATATTTTCATTGCCAAATTACATCACCAAGTTGCATAATTTTGGTCCCTTGAAAGCACTAAAGTCGTGCATTGACTTGAATATGAATATATTTAGTATTTGTAATCATGCCATTTTCATTTATGGAAAGGTATATCTAGACACAAGAAATAATGTTCATTTTAGCATTTAAGATATGTCTCCAAAACTGTGGTCCTATTTCAAATTCTACACTAGGGATCAGCAAACTATGGATCCCGAGCCAAAACCAGCCCTCTGTAAATAAACTTTCATTGGAACACAGCCATGCCGACTTATTTTTATACAGTTTATACCTGCTTTTGTGCTCTGGTAGCAGTGTTGAATATTTGAGAGAGAAACCTTATAGGCTACAAAACCTAAGATACTTGTTACCCGGCCTATTATAGAGTAAGTTTGCCTACCCCGTGCTATACCATTTTAAAATGCCATATCAGTTCAGTTCAGTTGCTCAGTTGTGTCCGACCCTTTGCCATATACTTTTTAAAAATTTTTGTTGTCGTTGTTGCTGTTTAGTGATAAATTACTCATTCCTTTGTTTAATGTAGATGATTTCTATGTGAAATAACTGCACATATTTATTCACTAATTGTTGTTAGGTTACCAGCAGGCTAGTTCCTCGTATAAGATTAAAATGGCTGAAGTTGGAGGACTGGCAAAAACAATGGTTCAGTCGTTGGAGTTGCTTGAAAATCAACTTGTTGAGAAACTTTGGGTACTTAAAGCTCTGCAACATCTCTCAACTTCTGGTTTGTATATTATGTACATAACTGAACACTTCATTCTCAACTATTTTTGTTTTTATCTAATAATGTCGAGTCTATAAAACAATTTTAGAATTTATTTTCAGAAGTTAATTGTACTTTAATGGTGAAAGCACAAGCAGCCAGTGGAATCTGTGCTCACCTCAATGACCCAGATCCCTCTGGACAACTTTTATTTCGTTCATCTGAAATACTTTGGAACTTACTGGAAAAATCTTCAAAAGAAGAAATCATACAACAGCTTAGTAATTTGAAATGTTTGCTGTAAGTATATGGGGTTAGATAGGAATGTTTTTAGCCTTAAAATGATAGCTGGTGCATAACTAAACTCTTTGTTTAAATTTGTGTTCAATTAGGTTTTTGATTCATATGATGGCTATGTATCAGGACTTTTTTTTGTACCATGGTATAAATGTATTTGCATAATAACAAGTCTTTTCTTTCTATGTGGAAGACATTTAAAGTAGCTTGCTAACAAATGTAAATTGTGTCCTTGAGTATATATAAAGTAAAATTAGCTATTTAAAAGGACTATCTCATTTGTTCATTTAGTAAACCTGTTTTTGAGTATTTACTCTCTTCCAGATATTGCAGTAAGCATTAGCAATAAAATGAGTGAGACTTTAAGTTACTTAATAATTTATTTATCAAATAATTACTGTCTGCTCTGTGCCAAGTTCAGTGCTAGGCTGTGGAAGTAAAACTGGAAACAGTATAGAGATGGTCTCTGCTTTCACGGCACTTGTATTATGTTAAGAGAGACAGACAAGTAAATAGGCAACTAAAAGAGAGCATACTAAACGTTATGAAAGAGAATTATTGCAAGGTTCTTCATGTTCTCCAGAAGAGGGTAGATCAGTGCATTTTTCTTTTCAAGTGACAGAACCCCCAACTCAATTGATTTAAACCAAATAGGACATTTATGAGCTCATGTAACTACGGAGTCAAGGAAAAAACTGATTTCATGTATAGCTGTATTCAAGGCTCAGCAAATATCAGGACTTGGGCCCTCTTCATCTCTCTTCACTGTTTTCCAGTGTGTTGGCTTAAGTCTTAAGATCCATATGGTTAGCTCTAAGAAGTCTAGGATCACATCATCACAACCCCAAACCAAGGAGAAGAGAAGCTATTCCAAAAGCTCAAAGAAAATTTATCTGAGTTCCTGCTAACCTGGTGCTGGCCATATGCCCATTCCAGAGTGAATTACTAGTGACAGAAAGAAGGAATGCTCTAACTAGCTTCCTTTTAGTTAAAGACAGCATCACAAGACCAAAAGTGGGGAAAGAGTGACTGCCTAAATAAGGATTTTGTTATCATAAGAAGAGCAAGGAGGTCCTAGAAGATAAAGTGACAAATGCCTGTTGTACAGGGAACCTAACCCATACTTGGAGAGTTAATGAACACTTCATAACAAACCCTAATCTGGTATCTGAATGCTAAATGTGAGTTAGCAACACAAGAATTTTGCATGTAGACAGCACCCTGGACAGAGGAATAGAAATGAAAGCAGAATTTAGCAAAATTGAAAAATTTAAAGAAATTCAACATAGAGCAGAAAATACAGGGTAGAATAGTGAAAGATGAAGCTAACAATGTTAGCAGGGATCATAGCATGGAAGGCCTGATAAGTCGTGGTAAAGAGGTAGGACCTTATCCTGAGAACAAAGGAAAAAGCCCTTAAGTAATTTTAGAAAGAAGAATGATGTAACTGAATCTTTATTTTAGAAAAGTCACTTTGACCACCATGTATAGACTCGATTGAGAGATTCTTATTTGCTCCCTCAGTGAATTACAGGTAGATTTGGAAAGAGAAAAGATTAGAAATATTTTGAAATGAATAAAAAAGGGAGATTTTGGTGGGAAATACTTAAGGAGTATTTCCATAGAAATATAGCTTTAAAGATATGATTTTATTTTTTTAGGGCTTTGAAGGAAGTATTTAAAAATCTGTTTATAAGAGGCGTTAGTCATTATGATCGTCAGCTTAGAAATGACATATTAGTGATCACAACAATTATATCTCAAAATCCTGGGGCACCAATGATTGTAAGTATAAATCAAATTGCATTTTAATTTTAATTGTGGAAGCGGTGGGTGTAGGGGGGAGGAAGGAGTCCTAAATTGTGTTGTAACATTTATGTGAAAATGAAAGTCACTCAGTTGTGTCCAACTCTTTGTGACCCCATGAACTGTGCATGAAATTCTCTAGGCCAGAATACTGGAATGGGTAGCCTTTCCCTTTTTCAGGGGATCTTCCCAACATTTATGTACTTGGTTGTAATACCAGGTTATAATATCATTATGGTCACCAGTATACTTGCACTCTGCCAATTCTTCTTTTTATCCCTTTGGACAGTTGAGATCTTCCTCGTGTACTATAATTTACTCACGTATTTACTATTCATGATGTTTTTCATCTCTTCCTGATGATAGGAGTTTCTGACTGTTATCATTTCTTTCACCCAAAGAATTTCCTTCACCATTCCTTGTGATGCAGATCTGCTGACTGCTAGCAACAAATTTTCTTAGCTTCTTGTATCTTAGACTAGCTTTAATTAACTTTAATTCTTGACATCTGTGTTCACAAAATATGGAATTCTAGATTGCAATTTTTATTCTGTTTTAGCACTTTAAAGATATCATTCCACTGTCTTCTGGCCCCCATTGTTTTCTATAAGAAGCAGTCATTATTTCAAATTGCTGTTCTATGTAAAGTATTTTTGGTTTTCAGCAGTTTTACTATAATGTGCCAAGATGTGATTTTTCTCTGTATTTACCCTGTTTGAGATTCATACATCTTCCTGAATATGTTATTGTTGTTCAGTAGCTTGGTTGTGTCTGACTTTGTGACTCCATGGACTGCAGCACACCAGGCTTCCCTGTCCTTCACCATCTCCTGGAGTTTGCCCAAACTCATGTCCATTGAGTTGGTGATGCCATCCAACCATCTTATCCTCTGTTACCCCCTGCTCCTCTTGCCTTCAATCTTTCCCAGCATCAGGGTCTTTTCCAATGAGATGGCTCTTGGCATCAGATGGCCAAAGTATTGGAGCTTCAGCTTCAGCATCAATCCTTCCAATGAATATTCAGGGTTGATTTCCTTTAAATTTACTTATTAACTTTGATTTAAATTTTCTGAATATGTAAATATAAGGAAAAACCAGTGATTCAATGGCTCAGATGCTAAAGAATCTGCCTGCCATGCAGGAGACCCAGGTTCAATCTCTGGCTTGAGAAGATCCCCTGAAGAAGAGAATGGCTACCCATTCTAGTATTCTTGCCTGGAGAATTCCATGAACAGAGGAGTCTGGAGTATTACAGTCTGTGGGTATCAAAGAGTCAACAGGACTGAGCAGCTAACACTTTCACTTTCACTTGGAGAATTTGGGGCCACAATTCTTTAAATATTTGTCCAACCTGCTTTTCTCTCTCCTGTCCTTCTGAAACTGATTATAGTTATGTTTGATTTCTTTGATATTATCCCACAGGTTGCCTGTGATTGCCTCTGTCTTCTGGTTCTTCAAACCAGTAAGATTACAGGTTTACCCTGAATTTTAGTATCTCTTTAAGGTGCAAGCTAGGGCCTGGCCTCAGTCTAAAAGTCATTTTTTCATTCATTACCTATATAGCTTCCTAGTCAAAGCTGCAATATATAGGTGGACCTATGTTTCTGTGGAAGCCCTTGGTCAGCCAACAAATTCTCATTAACATCCTTGCAAACACTTGGGTAAATTCCATGAATGTGAATCAACAGATATAACATCTTTACATTTTAAAGAACATGTGGATTTATCTCTGGGCTTTCTATTGTGTTCCATTGATCTTTATTTCTGTCTTTGTGCCAGACCATACTGTCTTGATGACTGTGGCTTTGTAGTAGAGCCTGAAGTCAGGCAGGTTGATTCCTCCAGTTCCATTCTTCTTTCTCAAGATTGATTTGGCTATTCGAGGTTTTTTGTATTTCCATACAAATTGTGAAATTATTTGTTCTAGTTCTGTGAAGAATACCGTTGGTAGCTTGATAGGGATTGCATTGAATCTATAGATTGCTTTGGGTAGTATACTCATTTTGACAATATTGATTCTTCCAATCCATGAATGTGTTGGTATGCTTATCTGACTTTCTTCTTTAGGGATTTATCAGTACATTAAGAAAGCAAAAACAGAATCAACTCTTAGAACAAAGAATGAAGGTAATCTATCAATGAGCAAAGAGATATTAGATTATAAGAGAATCTTGCTGAAAGTCTTAGGGATCATGCAGTCTTACCCCTTCACCTCACACATGTGCAAAGAGGGTAAGTAATTTGTTAAAGGTGACCAAGGCCAGTGGTAGCAGGACTTGAATGCAAAGTCAGATATTTGTCCTCTGGACAGGAACACTTTTCTCTCTATGCATCTAGTATGTGTTTAGCACTATGCTGAGCCATCTGGGAAATGTGAAAGAAATACAGATGCTTTGTCTCACTTTCCCAAGTTTAATTAGTGTAAGCTTTTGTGATAATAGTTCTTAATGAAGACAAGATCATCTAAATATACCAATGTATTATATTAAGCAGAAAAAGGAAAAACAATGGATACTCATTGATCTTTCATTTCACAGCACTGTTTATAATAGCCAGGACATGGAAGCAACCTAGATGCCCATCAGCAGACGAATGGATAAGGAAGCTGTGGTACCTATACACTATGGAATATTACTCAGCCATTAAAAAGAATTCATTTGGATCAGTTCTAATGAGATGGATGAAACCGGAGCCCATTATACAGAGTGAAGTAAGCCAGAAAGATAAACACCAATATAGTATACTAATGCTTATATATGGAATTTTAAAAGATGATAACGATAACCCTATATGCAAAACAGAAAAAGAGACACAGATGTACAGAACAGACTTTTAGACTCTGTGGGAGAAGGCGAGGGTGGGATATGCTGAGAGAACAGCATTGAAACAAGTATGCTATCAAGGGTGAAACAGATCGTCAGCCTAGGTTGGATGCATGAGACAAGGGCTCAGGGCTGGTGAACTGGGAAGACCCAGAGGGATGGGATGGAGAGGGAGGCAGGAGGGGGGATCGGGATGGGGAACACAGGTAAATCCATGGCTGATTCATGTCAATGTATGGCAAAAACCACTACAACATTGTAAAGTAGTTAGCCTCCAACTAATAAAAATAAATTGAGAAAAAAAAAACATGTGGATCTTAAAGTAGTAGGAATATATAGTTGCAAGCTCAAAAGCCCAAAGTTTGTCTTATAAATTCTTCCTAATGTACAAAATCCACCTAGAATATCTCTGTCAGGAATGAGTTCCCTCATGCTGAAATGTCTGCAGTTCTTGTCATTCTTCAGGGCTTTTCGGGTTAAATAGGAATTGTTTGTTTTCTCTTGACCAAGCCTTTCATATAAGAGAGTGGTTGATGTCAGGATGGGGAACTGGGGGGTGTTAAGAAGAAAAGCTGTTGAAAATAACTATTTTCTTTCCTTCTTTTGTCAATTGAAGCTATGGATAATGAATTACATAAGTAACTTGTAGTAATACATTTTTAGGTTCCTAACAGATTTTAAACAGCATCTTATAAATATTCATAGAATTTAAAATATTTCTTAGGACCTACAAAATTAAGTTTAATATTAAAGAAATTACAGGTATATCTGGCTATATGTTTTTATTTTCTTGCTTCCATCCCTTCCTGTTATTAGTGCTTTATGAATTCAAGTCAATGCAAGGAGAATGTGACAAATATACTTAAATATTAGGTAAATATGGGCATCTGTAACCTAATTTCCATATAATTAATTCATCCATCTGTTTCTTTTGTGTATTTTTATTAGGAGTCTGGCTTTACCAGGGATTTGATATTATTTGCAACATTTAATGAAGGTAACAAACATAAAACTTTCAAGTTATAATTATCTTAATATGTCTTATACATCATTTCAGCTTTTATTTTCCTTTTTTTTCTCCCTTGCAGTTAAAAGTCAAAATCCTTTGGTAAAAGGTGTTAAGGTTTCTAATTCCTATGAAGATTTTGAGTTGAAGAAATTGCTATTCAATATAATTGTGATCCTATGTAAAGATTTATCTACTATACAGGTAAAAAGTAATCAAAGCAAAAATTTAAATTGTCTCACTTTGTAGTATAATTTTTTAAAAGTCACAACTGCAAATCTTTCATCAGCCCATATGTTTACCATCAGTTCAGTTCAGTTCAGTTGCTCAGTTGTGTCCAACTCTTTGCGACCCCATGAGTTGAAGCACACCAGGCCTCCCTGTCCATCACCAACTCCCGGAGCCCACCCAAACTCATGTCCACTGAGTTGGTGATGCCATCCAACCATCTCATTCTCTGTCGCCCCTTCTCCTCCTGCCCTCAATCTTTCCTAGCATCAGGATATTTTCCAATGATTCAGCTCTTCACATCAGATGGCCAAAGTATTGGAGTTTCAGCTTCAACATCAGTCCTTCCAATGAACACCCAGGACTGATCTCCTTTAGGATGGACTGGTTAGATCTCCTTGCAGTCCAAGGGACTCTCAAGAGTCTTCTCCAACACCACAGTTCAAAAGCATCAATTCTTTGGCACTCACCTTTCTTTATAGTCCAACTCTCACATCCATACATGACCACTGGAAAAACCATAGCCTTGACTAGATAGACCTTTGTTGGTAAAGTAATGTCTCTGCTTTTTAATATGCTATGTAGGTTGGTCATAACTTTCCTTCCAAGGAGTAAGCGTCTTTTAATTTCATGGCTGTGATCATCATCTGCGGTGATTTTGGAGCCCCAAAAATAAAGTAACAACTCTTATTCACTGGAATTTCACCTTTTCAAAATTTTTCATATCTATTTATGAGTAGTGATTTTACCTAAATTAAAACCAAACAAGTCAAGGAAAAGCAGGAGAACCTGGGAGATTTATTTATATATTTATAGCTGCTAAAAAGAGAACATAATATGAAAGGCAATCTATATAGGCCCATCCAGCCTAATAGTCTCTCTGACCATAGTAATAAGGGATGATTTAATGCTAGAAGAAATTGCTCATCTCTGAGATGCCCATTTCAAGCCCTATGACCCTGCTTTTTCTCCACACAAATCTAACCTCTTCATACACACACACACACACACACACACACACACACATATATACTAACACAGTAAAGTATCCACCTGCAATGCGGGAGACCTGGGTTCGATCCTTGGGTCAGGAAGATCCCCTGGAGAAGAGAATGGCTACCCACTCCAGTATTCTGGCCTGGGGAATTCCATGGACAGAGGAGCCTGGCAGGCTGCAGTTCATGGGGTCACAAAGAGTTGGATATATGAGTGACTAACTCATATATATATATTACCCATGAATTATCTTAATACTTTATATCCTAAATAAGGCATGATGTAATTTGAAGAACACTGGAAATGAATTTCAGTCTGTATTATCACCTACTTGCTATGTGACCTTGGCAAAGTCACCTGAACCTTCTGAGGCTCAGTTCCTCTTTCTCTTGTGAGACTGAGATAAAGGCTTTGTAAACCAAAAGATAATAGAAAAAAATAACTACTAACAATTCCATCTGTTTAGTTAATATTGCACTAGTTGAAATTTTATTTTAGTCTTAAAACTCAAGTTCCAGGGGGGCTTCAGTCTATCAGCATCATTAGTAATAATATAAAAGTGGTATTAGTTCAGTTCAGTTCAGTTGCTCAGTTGTGTCTGACTCTTTGCGACCCCATTAACCACAGCACTCCAGGCCTCCCTCTTCATCACCAACTCCCGGAGTTTACTTAAAACTCATGTCCATCAAGTCGGTGATGCCATCCAGCCATCTCATCCTCTGTCTTCTTCTCCTCCTGCCCCCAATCACTCCCAGCATCTGGGTCTTTTCCAGTGAGTCGACTCTTTGCATGAGGTGGCCAAAGTGTTAGAGTTTCAGCTTCAGGATCAGTCCTTCCAATGAACACCCAGGACTGATCTCCTTTAGGATGGACTGGTTGGATCTCCTTGCAGTCCAAGGGACTCTCAAGAGTCTTCTCCAACACCACAGTTCAAAAGCAT